GATTTTGTGTGGACGGAATCAATTGTTATTGGAAATACTCTGGCCTGGTATCGATTCGATCCTTAATGTTTGTCCTCCGACGATGATCCTACTGTATCAATCGGGCCCGATCTCTCCCCAGCGGGCCAATACGACCCCCCCCCCTCTGTGACATGTCGAGGATTCCTCAACGCACGCTTGACCCTGTGTTAGCGCCGCAATACTTCGAGCACGAGACTGTTCAACTGTGTAGGGGCAGCACCTAGTACTTCAATGTTCCACTTTCCGGCCAATGTGGCAAAGGTTAAATGTCTTTAAAGGAAAGAAAGAATTGAATCTAGCATTTGGATCAAGCCGCATTTGCGTGGCAGCGGCGCTGCGTCCCTCTCGCACATCTGAAACTAGCATTTTTGATATGAAACCGGATGTGCAGAGGACAAAAAGGGGTCGTATCAGAGTCCGTGTTCTGGAGGGTCTCAGAGCGGGTATCTTCGCACGATCACCCTGAAGCTAGTACCCAGTATATGCGCTAGATTGCAATCCGACGGCGAAAATCAGCTTTTCGACAGCTGCTATTTCTCGGTTCAAATGAAGGAGAAAAGAACGCCAAATTGGAAGTTTTTTTTGAATCCACTGTTCTAAACGAACCTTGCTCTAAACGGCCCTACTTCCTCGCTCAAATTAGAAACCATATTCATTTCGTACAAATTGGGAACAATAAGGACTCCGAAAACGAGCTCAGTACTTTTTCTTAAACATTCTATACCAATTGATCTCTGCAAAATGCAGTCAACGTTTGAAGGATGACGAAGTGAACATCACTGATTTGTTTCTATGATTTATTTCGCTGGGCGATCGAAATTTGCGAAGAAAAGAAGAATGCCACGCACGCATATTGCATTGGCACCATCAGTGGACTGAATACCCATGCTCAGTAGGTGTTTATATAGCCGTTGGGGTGTTATCACATTGATAGCACTGCAAAACATTGATTGCTAAAGTCATAGTTACTCGATTTTGTTAACGGTCTGTTTACTTCACGAGTTTCCCTACCACTTCATTTTGCGGACGGACACACATACATACATACATACACACACATACAGACATACAAACCGACACACAAAGTTAGCGCTTTATAATAATAGAAGGATACTATAAACCATGATAAGGCCACATCCTCAGCTGTTCTAACCCAAGCACTTTATTCCTCAAAGTCCCTCCAGGAAAATTCTCGCTGTAAGAACTAATGCCCTAGACAACTTTCAGTGAAGTGTTCTTATCTTTTCTAGCTGCTTCAAACATTACCTAAAAAAGAAGATGAAAGGGTCATATTCCAGAACTGAGCGCACATATATTTTATAGGCTCTTATTGAGCGGGATCATTAGATTTGACGACTTGAAAAGCAATTGCACCCTCTGTTCTGCTTTAGATACCAAGCTCTTCAAATGCTTATCAAAACGCAACGGAGTCAATAAGGGAACCCAAATCTTCGAAAGATTTGGTTGCATCAAGGATCGCCAATGGGGTTGAAATCCCAGCTGCGCTATTATTCAGCCAAGTTCGCAAGTTAAGTGAGAGAAGATGTAAGGAACACAATCAAGAAAGGTGGACATCTGCTAAGGGAGCTTGCGTAGTGTAAATAGACAAAGTAAATAAACAAATAAATAGGTGGAGCACAGTGAATCTAATCTGAGGACTGATTCGTAGTGGGTTACCAGGCATCGAAACTACATGTATTTCACATACAGACTGGAAGTAGTACGAAAATAGGTTAGCCTTAACGACTCACTTCTGATTTGAATCCTGCTGAAGAGGGTGACGTTGCAATGCAGAGAGATATTTTTAGTTTCTCTAGCAACAGTTGAAAAGCGGGTTTGAGTTTTGCAAAAATTAATGCGAGTTTGTGAGTAAATCTTGTCAAGTACGTTCTATACCTTGAATTGGCCAAGTGCAAGCGTTCAATTTCTCTTGGAAGTACACCTGTTTGGACATCTTTCAGTTTTTTTTCGCTGTGTTGCATGATCAGCTCGTACTTGGCTTTCAATTGATGAAACATGTCAAGAAATTTGGAGTAGAACCACTTTCAGATGCTGTTTAGTCTAACCAAAACAAGGCGAGTACAGAATTGAATCAGGAGATAAGGAAATTAAGAACGAAGTGAATGAAACTAATTGTTACAGAATGTAACAGAATGGGCTCAAATGTAATCGGTACCTTTTCCTTTCCTGCTTTTTTGCTTTTGTCAAAACCCATCTATGACTTTGACGTCTCACTGAAACGTAAAGAAAGTAGCAGGATAGGAGGACATGATCGATATCACATACATGAAGTGATTGGTAAATAGGTGTTTTTTGCAAACGACAGATGAGCATTGGATTTTGGAAGATTTAAAAATTTCATAAATTGACTGACGTGCTCATAATATTTCATAGCGCAACAACAAAAAGTCGAGCATTCACCTTCATCACTTCCCTCTTCTTCGAAAAAAAATTTCTCGTCTCTCCGGGTTATTCTCCTCATTTATCACCTTCGATACGGCTGCGATCAGTTTTTTTCAACGAAATCCTGTAAGGAAACCACGATCTATACCTGTCCGTTATTTTTCTGCAATCGTTTGACTGCGGATGTGATGCATACCTCCCATATTTGTCATTGGACTTTGCATACATAATGTGCTGTCAAACCCAAAGCAGGATCCACGAAGGATATGAAAGGAGAGCTGCTATTCAGCATTAGCGAATAGAGGCTACGGTATTGTATGCGGGTTCCTGTTAAAAACATTCCTTCCTGTCGCCCGGTACCTGGCTAATCTTGCAGGAGAAACTAGGTAACAAAAACGGTCAATTTTCAGGTGACTCTTCCCCAAAGATCTCCTATTCTTCTATTGAACAATGTTCTCAATGAAGCCAATCAGAGACTAATTTTTTTTATTTTTAAGACTAATTTTGACTGCGCTCCGATTTTCAACGTATTTAAGTACTATCGCTGAGAGTGAAACATGAGCGCTTGATTCGGATGGCATCCAACGCGTCCTTCACGATGATACTTGATGGCTCATTCATTTAATTTGGGTGTTACTTCGAATCAATCAAATTTCAAGGCCGAGCAAGTGCACATTGCAAGAATGGGACACAGGGTTCGGCAAAGACTTCACGAATGCGCTGTTCATGGAACCACTATCTTCGCAAGCAGTGCACTAATTACAAAAAGCGCTGCAATGGTTTCAAATGTGAGCAGCACTGCGGTCACGAAGGCACCTAAACATTTGTAAAGAAATGTGCTCTGTTATCTGTCCAGGTATGGAAATTACACGACACACATTCTGAAGAAGAACATCTGCAAACATCGAAAATTCTGCATACAGATTGGTTTTGTTCTCTTCAAATAAAGCGACACTCTACACGATACAGTATGCCTTCATCTGATGACTCAACATCGGCACATAACGGGACTTTGCCTAGTTGCTGCTCTCGCTCTACCCTGACCAAGGTCGACCACTTCTCTGTGCAAATCACACACGATTCTCCGTGTGGTTGCCTGTTTGATCCTGAAGAGCAGGCATACTGGTGATGACGTTTCAGCGTAAACTCCACATACATCGATCTCAGTCTTCGGTGTTTAAAAAACATGCACAATGCCCATTCGCATTCGTGTACCATACCAAAGATCATAGTCAGGGACACGAATGCGAATGTATTGGTGAGAAATGGGCCGACAGGAAGGAAGGAAAAGAACCCGTCGAAAACGTTAGTTAAGGGCTCACTCACCTTCTAATCGGCTGTGCTAAAGGAATGAGAGACTAAGCGTCGAGAGGAGAGTATGAGGCGAGAGAGCGAACAGAGGAAACGACCTCGGACAGCAGCCTGACAAAAGAGAAAATTGCAGCTGTAGCAGTTCTTTGCAGGACTCTAGCGCTTGTTGGGTCATTTCTTGGCCCGGGAAAGCCACATCTGTAATTGTTCTTTGGTAGGTCTATCTTGAAGACCGAAAAGAATACGGCTTCACACGGCTTTCAGTTTCAACTTATCACATGCTCTTCATGTGTTTAACCAAAAATTTGAAAAATAACAATAACAAAATGTGAAAAACGAAAATGCTGCATAGATAAACAACGTAATCCAGGGAAAGGCTTATGTGATGTCAAGCAACAAGACCTTATTCGGAGTAATTCAGTTGAAGAGACGCCACTTTTTTTAATTTACAGAAAGAAGCTGGGATAGCATGACCCTCACTCATTTTCACATACTCCTTTCCTGCTCGGTAACGTGGAGCACCTGCGCTTACCGAAGAGTGTGGGCTGCCTGCAATACAAGCTTGAGTTCCTCACCCCTAGTTCAAGAGTGGTCAACTCATGAAAGCGTGTCTGTCTGAATCAACCCTTTTATTAAGTAGATATTATAAACCATGATGATGTCTTCCTCCATCCTCAGTTGGAAAGGTTATAAGCCAAGTATTTCGTTCCGTATCACCTTCGTGCTTCTGAAAATGAAGTCCTAAGTGCTCTAAGAAATAATTTTTCAAAATATTGCTCTATATCTTTCCTATTTTCACATACTCCATTCCTGCTCGGAACGGCAAAAAACTGCGCTCACCAGAAGAGTGGGGTTGCTGAAATATTATGTATTCTGTCCAAAGAGGTTTTACCTTGAGAGAAGAATATGCATGTTACATATTCCAGAACTCTGCGCACTTGTATTGCATAGGCTCTTATTAGTAGTCCGATTCATTAAATTTTATCGATTTCGAGAGCAATTGAATCCAGTTCTGCTTTAGTTACCAAGCTCTTTGGATGCTCATTAAAACGCAATTTGGAGTCAACAAGGAAATCAAATCCTTGACTGATGTGGTTGTATCAGCTATATCATTAGTTATGTATACTGTATATTAGGATTAGATGCTGCTAAATGGGGCACCTTAGCCTATGGATGTAAAACGGGCGCAAGTTTCGAGTTAACCATCATACAATAAATCTTACACGCCATATTACACTAGCTCTCGTTAATGGTAGCTCTCGTTAATGGAACAACTCTTTCCGGGCTATCCGTTACTGAAGTCAATGAAAAAAATAATGTCCATCATCTGCTGTACCAAGGCGATATTGTGTTATCCCGGTACGTGAGAAATTCAGGATTATTAGTTATTGTTTTCTCTAATGCCATCATTAAAGTGAGCATGCGGAACAGATAGCTAGCGGCCACAAAAGGTGCGGGCGGCAATTGACGAACATCGCCTGAAACGTCAGGCCATGAATTGGAAGGCTTGGCCACAATTCTTGGATAGATGGAGTAAACTATTCTTCGACGATTCCGTCTGTAAGCATTGTTACCGTGGTGATTACCTGAAACTCCAGTAGAATACAATATGCAGATTATTTTCAGCTGATCAAACTAAGAATGCGTTCAGAGACGCAGCGAAACAATGGGAAAGTCAAACCTGTATCAATTTCACAGAAAATCCTTCGGGTAAGATTTACACGAATGTTTACCTAATAGGATTACCATATCCGGCGTTGAAAAAAAATGCGAACAAGAGAATCGGAAGAACACTGCTCATCTTCAAAGCAGAATGTTTGAAAAATATAAAACTTGTAAAATAACTAAAACTAAACTTTGAATTGGTCAACACTTCTCAACCTCTCTTTTCAGCTGCTGACCGAGTGAAAGTGTCTGAGTTACCAGGCTGCTATTCATGTGTTGGGAAATGTGGCAGCGAACAGGTGTTATCGTTGGGAAATAGATGCGCTAAAGGATTCATTGCTGCGCACGAAATTGGCCATCTTGGATCATACATACCCACTCGCGTTATGACCGTGACGATTTTGTCAAAGTTAATTGGGAAAAAGTTCAGGTAAATACTTCACAACTGTTATTACTTCTGCTGGCATTTCAAGAGGTAGTAGTGGTAATTTTCTTATTAGACCGATAGCTCTAGAAAACAATTAAAAATTCTAAACCTTTCTGCTAGAGAATATGAGGCTATGTAGGACACTCAGCGGTCTTTACAAGAAATCTACTTCGAAGAGCCGTTACCGTATTGTCTTAACCTTGGTCTTAACAGGTACAAGGGAATACGAAGCTGAAACGGTGAAAACACGTTTTTCCTCATACGAGGAGGTACCTATGTTTCCTGGGTCATGGGGGCTGTGGTCTGAGAGTAACACTACTTTGTAGGTAGTATGTTCATCGTTCAGAATTGGAGAATAGTCGTCACATGACCTATGTAATGAAGTTTCCAAAAGGATTATTTTTAGCAGGTCAGAACACAGCAGGAGACTTCAAAAAATATACACGGGAGCAGAACAATAACTTTGGATTAGCGTACGACTACGGTTCCATTATGCACTACGCCGCAGCGGAGTAAGTTTTCCTGTAGAACATTTGTCTTATCAAGTTCTGAGTTCAAGCAACAGCGCTAAAAACTATTCGGTCGAATGTCTTCTCGGCCTTAAAATTTTTCTACAGATTCAAATTTGTTTGAGTTTCAACACGTTTTGAATGCAAGCCTCCTTCACTGGAACAGCATATTTGTGTTGAATGGGAGAAAGAGGAAAGCCCAAAACTACGATATTATAATGGCGAGTCTTAAGGTATGACCAAATGTCACAAAAATATTAAACTGTTGTAAAAAAAACTCACAATCTAACAGAACAATAAGCCGCATAGTGACACGAGACAGACCTGCTTCTTTCTTTACTGTCTTCTAGAGTCGCTGAAACTGGAATACATCTTCAACTTGTGCTTGTTCAGGGCTGAAGTTCCCCAAAGATGGAAAATGTCTTTTGTTAGCCCCATTCCCAAGAAGCCCCCACGTGACAATCCGGGCAACTATAGGCCAATCAGTATTACTTCAGTTTTTTGTAGAGTTTTCGAAAAAGTGCTGAAGAGGGTTATCGTCGACCATTTGGATAGATACAGGATACTACCGGATTGCCAACACGGGTTTAGAAGGGCAAGGTCAACAATATCGCATATGCTGGAGGCCCTTAATGATTGGACTGCTTCGTTAGACGTGAAAAAGGATGTGGACGTAATTTATTTCGATTATGCCAAAGCTTTCGACAGAGTAAATCATACCAAACTCTTGGTTAAGTTAAACCATATTGGCATACATCCAAGGATTGTATCGTGGATTGATTCCTTTCTGCGTTTCCGTTCGTTTCAAGTACGAGTCAGAAACAATTTTTCCAGGGTCAGGTCGGCTCCTAGCGGGGTTCCACAGGGGGGTGTCTTGTCACCTGTGTTGTTTTCTATTTACACCTACGACCTCCCACAAGTGGTGGAGGACATAGGCGTTAAATGCAAAATTTTTGCTGATTTAAAAATCTACAGGTCACTTGTAAGTGAAACGGACTCTGCATTGATTCAAAAGGCCATTGATGCAGTTTGGACTGGTCAAAAATGTGGGAGCTACCACTAGCGTCCGAGAAGACATTGGTGCTGCACTTAGGGAAAAGTCAACCCAGCCATAGTTACCACATCGGGGACTTTGTGCTCAAAAATGTTGGTGAAGTTAGAGATTTGGGCTTTATTGTTGATGAAAAGCTCTGCTTCGACTCCCACTGTAGGTATATAACCAACAAAGCGGAATCCAGGCTTTTCCAATTGCTGAGGAGTTTTTATACCAAAGACCCGTGCCTCCTTATTAAGGCTTACAAATCTTTCATTCGCCCCATATTGGAGTACGGCACAACTATTTTCTATCCGCAGACCAAGAAGTCTATCTCAAGACTAGATGCCATTCAAAATAGTTTCACTAGGAAGGTGTTAATCCGGGCCTTAGGTTTCAATTATAAGGCTATACCTAGGGGTCATAAGAAATAAAATGCTTGGCCTTAAAGCAACAATCCAGGAAC